TCCCTTGCAGACGGTTCTCCAGACCTTCCTCTCTTCCAATTCAATGAAACCTACGCTTAAAGGCAGACCTGCTTGCAACCGGGGCGCCCATTATGTGTTTGGTGTGAAATGCTATCAACATTTAAAACTGCTTTGTCCCCCTGGTCCCAAATCCCAGTAAATCTTCCACCGGCCTCGACTCATTTTCATCTGAAAAGCCTGTTTAGTTTGAATAGAAACGCAATCAGGCGCTCCTCTCCCTCTCCCTGGAATGTCAATTAAAATGCAGATTTCTCTGAGCGCTTTAGCGCCCCGAGAAGGGGGAGAAAAACGGGATACTCCAGGCAAACTAATGAAAGAAGAGCTGCGGTGAAACGGGGTGGGATGGGGGGCACCCCCAAGCTGCTCAACGGTGCTCACGGGATTGCAGGTATTAACTAGGAGGGGGTTGTGGTCCTGGGTTATCTTGTGTTTTTTGAGATTTCAGTTTGCTGAGCAATTTTACTCCTTTAGACTTGACCTCTTGACAGCTCCCTCCCCTGCTCAGGCTGGGGAGAAGCTGGGAGCCCTTGAGCGAGGAGCTGCGTCTGCATTTGGGGGAGCCCGGCACTGTTGACTTTTCTGGTGTGAAATATACACAGGAAAAAAAAACCCCAAATGCCAGGTGTTCTGTGTAGACCAGCAGTAGTGGACAGATCACCCCTCAGGTACAAGCCCAGTGCCGCGGTCACCGTATTGGCCTGCCTGCCTTGGACATAAATTGAAGAGCCCAGCGCCGGCCTGGCTTGGGGGCCACTACCCAGCCAGGCTCTTCCCGCTGTCATTTTGCCTGTCTTTGGGGGCAGGCTTGTGCCGAGGTGAAAATGGTCCAGGGGGCGGGTGGCGGTGAAGAGCCATCCATCAGAGGGAGGGTGACAACTCCGTGCGCAGGCTGAGAAGAGAGTTCCCTTTCAAGGGGAAAAATAAACACACTGGGGCTTTCACTGGCGCTCAGACTCCAGGAAGGATTATGGTATTGAAGGCAGGAAGCCGGGATTGTGGCCGCCAGCGGCATGCTGGGCCTGTGTTCCCAACACCGAGCCTCGGGACCTAATTATCCTGCCTAGGAGGTCGCACCATACTTTTGTCCACTCGGGTGATGAACTGCATCAGGAACTGCGCAGACCTGTGCCTTAAGGACTCCGCCTTCCAGAGTTTGGGGAGGGGGCTGCCGTGGGGCCTGGACATGCCTGAAATGCAAGTTTCTAGTGCAAGCTGCTGGGGGTGGCGGAATGACTTGAGATTCAACGGTGGGCTCTGTCCACCCTTCTCCGCTGGGCAGGGGCAGGTGGACGAGGTGGCTGGGGAAGCAGCCTGGGGCGAGACCTCCGTGCGGATTGAGGATTGTTCCTGAAGCCGTGATACATGTAGAAAATTCCCCTGCATTCTGGAAATGCTTAGTAAATCAATCAGAATGTTTGTGTACTTTCCTCCCACATGTATGTAGAAATAGGTTTGGAATTATCTTTTGAGGCTCCTGAGTTTAAGAGAGAAGAAGGGAGGGGAATCCTTCAAGCAATTGGAAAACAGCAGCCTGAAAAAGCACATGCGCACGTCTTGTTTCTGCTGTGAATTAACACCGTTTCACCTGTGCTTTCTTGGAAGCTGAGGTTTTCTTTATTTCTCCCTTGGGAATGGTGCAGCATCCTCTGCCCTCACCCATTTTAATCTTCAGTTAAGGCTAAAAGGAGCACTTTTTTATGACAGAGCTTTGGGAGGCTCCAGGAGTGTTGAAATCCTATGTCATAATTGGAAACATCAAGTGGGTATGCAAAGAGCGTGGAGTTGAGAGGTTTTTGTATTAAAGCTCTCTCCCCCACCCCAATCTTATAAAATGTGGTTTATTCCTGCGCTTCACAGAATCTGAAGCCCGAAATTGATGTTGCCTTTTCTTGTGACTGCTGTAATCAAATTTTCTAAAGTTGGTGCCATTTTGACCCTATGCTTAGTCACTTTGGATACCAAATGAATTTAAAGTTATTTGGAATATTTTAACTTTATTGGAAAATTCTCTGTGCCTTGGATCAAGTGGGTGAACAGATAGTAAGTTGAGCGTTCCCTTGAACTTCTTAAATTGTAGCCATTAGTTCAGCATATTGAAAGTTACTGGTCCAATCACATTCCACGAGTATAATTTACATATCATCATCATTATTAGCACATGCCTACATTATTCATTAAGGCTCCTATCCACTCTGTTTCTTAACCCCCTCTACAGAGGCTGAGGACATTTAGTAGGCCTGGACTGCCATGTAGTCACAGAGTGAAGGGAAATGAGGCTTCGAATCCGTTTTCACATCAGCTGCTTTGAATGTATTGCGCTTCCTTGGCGAAAGATTGCAGTACTCTTCTGCATTTGGAAATGAATCCTGACAAGTGGAAACTGGTGGGAATTTTTTGTAGCCTTCTTGGGATTCTTTAAATTTTGCTGGCCTCCTTTTTTCCTGAGAACTACAGGGAGGGTGGAAGAAACCGCTCAGCTCCAGCCCAGCAGAAACACAGGTCTGTGAGCAGACGCCTCCACAGTTTAGCCCTCTGAAGCCCAGTTGGACTTGGAGAAGTTAACGAGGTTGGTTATGCCAGCCCGAGCATTTTTAACTTGCTTTTGTAGTTGCCCTTGAAACTGAGGTCATGTTGCTTCTGCTTTTTGAGGGCGGTGGAGGCGATAGTGGGTGGTAGAAGAAGCACACGTCTTCTCACTGAAGTGGCCGTGTGTATCTCTCGGAGTCATGTAACTAACTATTCTTTTATCTCAGTGTTTCTTGAAAGTATGCTTTAAAAAAAATTAGCCTAGCACGTCTTGTGGACCAGCATGGTAGAGTCACCTGGGACTCTGAGGTGAGGATGGAAGACTTTGCAGATAATGAAAAAGAACTCTGTTTGCACACGTTGGAGAGGCCGAAAAACAGCTTTATCCCACTTGGGTTTAAGTGAATTGGCATTGGGGAAGATTCCACTGATTCGCCGAATCTCTTCTCTTTAGTGACTGCAGCAGCCGCAGCGGCAGCACCTCAGTCCCTGAGCCCATCGTGGGCTGAAAGCATTGCTGGCTGTCCATGCTCCTGGAGGAAGTGTGCAGATGGGATTAACGTCCACATGGAGATATGGAAGAGGACCGGGGATTGGCACTGTAACCATGGTCAACTGGGGTCGCTTCGTCTGCCTGGTCGTTGTCACCATGGCAACCTTGTCCCTGGCCCGTCCCTCATTCAATTTAGTTGAGGATACCACCGTGGAGCCGGAAGGTAAGTTATTGGACTTTCAGGGTACCTAGTGTGCTTTGGGATTTGTCTGGGGGAAGTGGTACTTTACATTAAGGCCTGTTTTAGAATCAGCTGCTTTTGCACTGTCTGTAGATGAGACTTCTAAGAGCAAAGGATAGTGGTCTCTCAGCTCCCCTCAGGGCAGAGATGATGAGAAAATGTTCTTTGCTGCAACGCTGCAGGCAGAACGGTGTATAGTTTGCTGGTTTCTTGGTGTGCGTGTTTCTCTGTGCAGGGTGAGGGAGGCGGCAGCAGTTTGCCTTTATCCAGTGCCCGGGAGAACTGTGAAGGGGCAAGTCTTGGAAAGATGAATGCCATCTATAGTCTGCTGCAGTAGTGTTCTCACTGGGGGAGATTTTTGCCTACAATGTAAAGAATTGCTATTTTCTGACAAAAGGAACCACTAAGGGAAATTGCCAACATCTGAAATGCTGACGTCTTATTTTCATTGTTTAAGGAGAAAAGAAGGTTCTGAAGTTCAGCACAGAGAGGGAGGCTTGACACATTAGATTTTTTTTTTTTAGTCATTGTAATTCATAATACTTAGGCAATGCATCACAGAGTGGCAGATTCTATTTTAGGGAAACTTGGAAGTGAATATACCAGGGGGTCTCCCACATCTCTGAGAACTGCCAGATCTCATAGGGCTTGCGCTGGTGTTTCAGTTTTGGAAATTTAATTTTAAAGGTATAAGTCCTGTTGTGAGGGCTACACGAGGCTGAAGTGTTCAGCTGGGCAGCTTTGGAACCTCTCTCCCTGTCCTTTGGAGACAACGTTAGCCAAGCCTCTACTTGGTGCTGCATTGAGATCTGTCATCAGTAGGGAATATTGGTAGCTGAGTTATTTTTTGAGTGGTAATCCGAGAATAAAACGGCAGATCCCAGCACTCATCGCCGCTTAATGAACCTGTTTGCTGAGAGTCCACCTGGTGCCTGCCTGGCTTTGGGAGCCGGCCGCAGTCCCGAGTGGTGTCTGGGGTCAGCCGAGCTGCTCGGAGAACGCATCCCGCACGTGGCATGAATGAGCAGCACGTTCACCCAGAGGGGCAGGCTGGTAGAGGACAGGAAGCCCACCTCCGTAGCCCGACAAGGACCGTTTGGGAAGGAAGACTGTGTTCTGTCTCAGATGAGAGCTCTGAGAGACGCGGCTCCTCTGGAAGACCCCGTGCAGGCGTTGTTAAAGGATAAGCCACCTGAAGCAATCATGTGAGACTAGGGAATTTCTTGTTACATGGAGACATGGTGGCTTTATAATGAACAGGTATGGTGACATCTTTTCTTCCACACGTCTCTGGGAAGGGACTCAAGTAGGAGTTTGTGTCTGAGGCTTGTATAGGCTATCGCTACAGACTGATCATAGAACTGCCTCTTTTTGACTTGTGCTGGGGCATCAGGACGATTGTAATTTGCAACAGTGATGCATTTTTTAAAAGGGCTTAGCCGGGCTCGGTGGCTCAGCTTGTAATCCCGCGCCTTTGGGAGGCTGAGGTGAGCGGATTGCCTGAGTCCGCAGGTTCGAGACCCGCCTGGGCTGGCGAGACCTCATCTCTACAATAAATCAAAAAATTAGCCGGACGTGGTAGCGCGCGCCTGTAATTCCGGCTACTCGGAAGGCTGAGGCGGAAGGATCGCCGGAGCCCAGCAGGTTGAGGCTGCGGTGGCCGGACGCACTCCCGTCTGGGCGATAGAGTGAGACTCCAACTCAAAAAAAAAAGAAAAAAAAAAAAGGGCTTAATGTGAGAGGGATAAAGCTCCAGCTTCTGAAAGTCATGCCTGTACTGCTTTAATTTTGCTAATAATTAAAATGGATATTTCCCTAATTGCTGGTTTTCCCTTGAGTGCATGGCTCAGCACAAACTGAGGAAGCTGAGCTGGGATTTCCTGCAATGTGGGCTTCAGGAACGGCCCAGGTTAGGGAAAAACTGTCATTTTTCATTTGGCTTTTCAGGGCAGCGATATTGTGAGTTTATTTCAACATAAAGTATAAAATGGTCCTGGAGGATTTCTTTTACCGTATTAATTATTGAAGGAAGTTTAAAATATGTGTGTATATGCAGGGAGAGAGGCAGGTGAGGTAGAGAGGGAAGAAACAGTGGAAAGGGACCAAGTCTCCCCTACAGGTCTTTGTGTAAGAATTGATATCCTGACGGGTACGATGGCTCACACCTGTAATCCCAGCACATTGGGGGGCAGAGGCGAAAGGATTGCCTGAGCCCTGGGATTCGAGACCAGCCTGGGCAACTTGGTGAGACTTCATCTTTACAATAAATCAAAAAATTAACCGGGCGTGGTGGCGCATGCCTGTAGTTCCAGCTACATGAAAGGCTGAGGCAGAAGGATCCCCAGAGTCCAGGAGGTTTAGGCCGCGGTGACTGTGAGCGTGCCACGGCACTCTAGCCTGGAGTGAGACTTTGACTCAAAAAAAAAAAAAAAAAAAAAATTGATATTCAACAATGTGAGTATTGTTGAGAGCAGATCTTCCCAAATGGGGATCTGTGGATTCATGTAGGGGTCAGGAAGGAGGTCCACAAAGTCCCTGAAATTGTTGGTAGTATTTTGCAAATGTTCTTTTGTGCATTTTTCTGGGTTCATAGTTTCCATGAGGTTTGCATCCAGAGCTGTGAGTCATTAGAAAAAATGAAGGTGGTTTAGAGAAAGTTGTGAAACCCCATAAAGAGAAGGCTTTGGAACAGCATACTTCCCTGGACCTCAGTTTCCCAGTACATAGTATTGTCGTCATTGTTTCCCGGTGCGTAGTATTGTCGTCATTGTTCCCAGTGAGCTGGGAACGTGGGCCTTCCCAGTCCTGTGCACTGGCTTTGCCAGTTGCCACGGTGTCAAGATACAGCTAGGCTTTTGGGGACAGTTGAGAAGAAAGATGCTGCTGGATCCCTTCGTGTTTCCAGGCAGCTATGTTTGCTTGTGGGGTCCACATGTCCCTTGTCTGCTAGTCCAATATTGGCAACTGATTTGAGCCCCAAGACCAGTTCTTCTGTTGCAGGAGTTTTGCTTTGGTGTCAGAGGTGATTAGGAAGGTAAATGAATTACAGATGAGAAAGGCGTTTTTTTGACAACTACAAGTGGGTTGAGGTTGAGGCTCTGTGCTGGCCAAGCGGTGTACGTGTGTATCCCCATTCATCTGTCCTCCATGCTTAGCATAACTATGGCTTTGGCTAATAGTAAGCTCAACCCTGACCTTCTATTGCACGAAGTCTTATCTTGGAAGGCTTTTTGGTTTGCTAACTTGGGAGCTCAGTTTAAATAATGTCTATGTACAGGAGAAAAATGTGACTGAGAAGTCCTGGAGGAAGTCTGGGTCCCAACACTAGAGGATCCTTTTCTTTCGGCCCTTTTGGTTTTGTACAAGCATCCTAGCTTTGTACAATATCGTATTATGTCATATATCATATCACATATCATGTCATAGCATATCATTTGTCTACTGGGCACTTGTTGAAGTAGTAACAGTGGGGTTGGGTCTACTCAATTGACTTAAGAAAACAATCTCCAGAAGATATTAGTTTTTAATATTTCAGATTAAATATGATTCTTTCCATTGGTCATTCATTATTAAAGGGGACCAGCAGGAGGGTGTAAATACAGTTATTGAGTCAGAGGAGGACAGTTCTCATTGCCAAGTACTATTTTGTTGATTAATATTCTAAATATTTAAAGTATAGTCAAGCTTGAGTACCCTGAGAGGAGGCAACTCTTACTTTCTGATTCTTCCTGCCATTGTCACCTACTCTGTTAATTAAGTCATTGTTGACATTAACGGCATCTTTGTTTATCTTTGTTTATGTCAGCCCAGTAGGAGCTAAAATAAAAGGGTTTTCCCAGCCAAAACTCTTAATTACTTTCCCACCCTTCATGAAGTGTGATTCTGAAAAGCATTGACCTGGGAAAAAAGTAGTTTGTGTGCTTTTTTTAAAGCCAGTTTTTTTGGGCAGTTTTTTGAGAGGTGATGCTGCCCTGGACCATTGTGAGTTGGTCCAAAGTTCAGTAGCAGAGAAGTTGAGGGTGGGATCTGCATCCTCCCTAAGAGACCTCCCTAAGTCAGATTTTTCCAGTATGGGTTAAGTTCTTTGTTAGAAGTATCGTAAATGCCATAATACCAGCCATACGCATTTAATTGCCAGTTAAAAGGAAAGAAAAGAAAAAAGAATATATCCGCATACCAAGAGTGAATTATTTAAAATAATCTTCTGTTTTGTATTATCTGCATCTTTGTTCCTCAGTATGAGTGTTAATATTTAAGAGTTGACTGTAACCCGATAGTTAGCTTAGGAACAAGGACTTATTCTTGGTCAATTAAACCAAATGCAGACTTATGCAGTTAAATACACAATGAAGTACACATTCTTTATTAGTATATAAAGTATTTCACAATTCATAGACAAAGAGCTGTGTTTAATATTACTTCTAGAGCAGAAATCTGGCAAGCCCAGAGAACTGGTATTTGTATCATTTCCCTACTGGCTCTCTCTGATTCAGATTTGGGGTGTGTGTGCTTGTGTGTGTTGTGTGTGTGTGTGTGTGTGTGTGTGTGCGCGCGTGTGTGTGTGTGTGTTTATTTTGACCTGTTCAAAGCTTGGACACCTACTATGCAAGAAACCCCTCTACCAGGCTGTAACTGAAGGCTTGTTCCTTTGTCTGTTGGACTCAGTTGAGGGTGAGAATTCAAATAACCATAGCAATCCAGTATGAGATATTTCTAATATCAGTCAAACTTGAATGAATAATTACATGGTTATGTAAAATAACTAGGGTAGTTTTAAACTGGAATAGTTTTGTTTAATGTTCACATTTTCAATAAAATATATCCACTAGCCCTCTAGCTTGCAGACTCTTGTTTGTTTGGATGTTTATTTAACCAGGGTAATTGGTTTTTTTTTTTTTTGCTTCCAAATGTTTTATTTATTTATTTTTAATTATTTTATTTTTAAGATGTGGGGCACAAATGAGGGTTAGGTACATACATGG